CACGTAAATTACTGGTGCAGATCAGCTAGAGAGCATAAGCTTCGACATAAGACGGAGGTATTTATTTCCTGAACAGTTTTACATTTCATTTCAAGTTTTTGGTGAAGAGCAGTTGTGTATTTGAGAGTTTCTGCAGACTTCAAGCAAAAACACTAAAGAAGAGAAAGGGTAGCATAAAGTTATGCGATCTATTACGATCAGTCATGCTTATAGGTCTTTCGTATTGTGTGTTTGAAAATTGACCGAGGGACGAGCACGTTTACGCGTATTTTTAAGTTGGCAAATTGCTCGATCAAATGTAAATAGCAATTATCTGCGTTCTGCATTCGATTACCTTGCGATCTGTCTTCGCTCTCTATGTGGGCGCAGGTCTACCGATCCCGATGTTACTCTTTGTTGAGCAGACCTTTTCCATTTCTGACCAAACATTCTGACAAGCGGTTCATCCCATCTCATTCGTGGTCTGCATTCATGAAATGATAAATGATTGAGCAACAAGTGACTTAATTTTGCTTGAAGGTGAAGCCCGGAACAGCAGTCGCGTATCCAAGTAATGTTACGCTCAAGAATTTGTACTATTTTATTTTTGCGCCTACACTCTGCTATGAACTAAGATTTCCGAGAACACCAACTCGAAGGAAGTCGTTCATGTTGAAACGAGCGGCTGAGGTTCGTTGATCTGGTTATTTTCAGGTTACATTCCATCAATTTGGGCATAGCCTTACTGATTACAGATAGTGATATTAATCACAGCATTTAATTCACTGCTACGATTCAGAGTGCAAATAACGATTCTTGACGTGATAACGGTGCAAACCTTATATGATAACAGTACTGATAAATTTCAGCTGTTCACATTGTCGTGTATAATTGCTGCGTTATTCCAACAATGGGTTGTTCCATTGCTGATCAACAGCGTCGAACCGTTCTCAACGATGAACATTTCACATTGTGTCGAGCGTGTTCTCAAATTGGCAATTCCGAATCATGTGATCTGGCTGATTTGCTTCTATACCGTATTCCATTCGTTTCTGAATCTGATCGCTGAGATACTTCGCTTTGCTGATCGACAGTTCTATCTGTTAGTGTTGATTGCACGTTGTTTTGCAAATTTTCATTCGTTTTTCTGTGAGATTTTCACCGATAATTTTTTCATTTCTAAACTTGTGTCGTTTTTGATTATGTGTTGTGTTTGAATTTCATTCCAGTAGTCACTTCCCCGTGCAACGGAAAGACAGGCAATTAATGCCATTAATGTTGCCTTGCACTATTAATGAAACCTTAAAACAGTGATGAATAACTGTTCATTTTCATTCATATCCCAGTTGCTCATTTCGTTGTAATTCAGCGACTTTTGGAATGCTGAGACCGTGTCATATTTTTGGAAGACTTGGAATATACCAGTGCACAGATGGGCGTTGCGT